AGGCAAGCCCAGTGCTCCTTCTTCAATTTATCATCTCAATATTGAAGGCTTCTTGAAGAACCAAGGGAATAAGTAATGCAGGAATAAAAATCAACATTTTTATCCTAACTCATTCATTTCTACACAAGTCACGATGAGAAGAAAGTAAAACCCGCAGATCTCTGTGAGGTCTGTTTCTCCTGACTGATGAACCAGAGCAGACGGAGGAAAAAAGCCAGATACCAACCTGCTTGTCATATTTTTGAAATCAGTAGACCTAAGCAACATTTGTGAACAAACATTTTATCACCCTAAAGAAAGACACAAGGAGAAATGAGTTGTCTTAGTTTTCTTTAAACAGCTTAACTCCTGCAAGCGTGTGGTAAGAAATTTGTGGTCACATTTTATATGGCTTTCTCGCAGCAGAAGCTGTGAGCGCTCGGTTTTTTTGCCCAAGTATCCATGACATGATCTCAGTTGTCATAGAAACAAGTCAGCTATCTGCCTGCCAAAAATTTTGTGCCCAATACAGAGATACAGTTAAGTATTCAATGCTGGTAGATTAAATTAGTTCAAGAAATCCCATCATTAGTGCACCTTTCTTGAAGCAAGGCGCTGTTTTATTTAGAATTCCTGCCAGATTTTAACAAAAAGCTGTGACGGAAAATGGTAATACACTGCTAAAGAGAAAAATATAGTTGCTGTTTCAGGCAATAAAATTGACAGCTGGAACAACAGGGACCAACTGTACTAAAGCCTCCACTATTCTCACCTCTGAGCACATTTGCAGGATCAAGGCCAATATAATTAGTCTAATGGATACAAACCCAGCGGCCTCAGTTATGAAAATCTCAATGTTTTTCAAAAGTGGTTTGACTTCCCACGTCTGGGAAAACTGTCTGCTCCGTTCCCCTCTCCCCTTCTTCACTGCTTTACCTACACAGCACCTGCCCATCTCTGACGGCTGCCGTGCCACAGCCAAACCCACCTCAGACAGATCCACCAAGGTGACATCAAGGCAAAAAAGTCGTCCCGTTAGTCCCTAATTATAGGCTATTGCCTTTTAGAGGTTTACCAGCTCAGAAGGGTGAAACAAGAGAGAGAAGTTTGGAGACCATTAACACTAGAAGGAAGAAGCAGACAAGCGTCCAGGCTTGATTTGTACTAAGGTCCCAAAAAAGCACTGGCTTTTTGCAAGTGGGCACAAAGTAGCTTGTGTCCTGTTGCTGGTCTAGGGGAAAGTGCTTGAACTTCGTGGGCTGTGAAGTTATCTGCAGGGCAATTAAATCCAAGTTTCTTCAAGTTCTCAAGTCCCCCCATCAAGATATCCCACCAAGCTGGCATCTAGTGGTGACTGCTTGATTTGTTGTCTCAAAAAAAATCAACGAAGCTCAGGTTTCATTTATGTTGACATGGGACTCCCTTCCCCATCCAAAAAAAACATATTCCAGTTGAAAGCATGCACAGAAATTAGGGCATGCCTGAAAATGGAGACCATTAAGCAGATAACATCCCAAAAAGCATAAATGGGATGAAATAACATAGTGCTTCAGTGCATAGCGGCTGAAATAACTAAGAAAACTCCCATGGCCATCTCATGTTCCTGAAGCCGCCCGCTTTGTTTTGAACACAAGCAAGCTCAGCTCGCCAGTGGGATGTGATCGGAGGCATGCACAGTTTGCATTTAGCAGCACAACAGTCTGATACAAGAGCCTGATCTCAGTGTCAGCAAATATGATTCATGCAAAGTCGCATATCCGTGTGACTCACTCGGCACAAGCTAATCCTCTGCCTGGCCCCCAACACAGCACCCACTTCGGGGTCTGTTTATTCCAGGAAATCAAGAAGGTAAATGCATCAGGCTCCGAGTCCTGTCGAGAAGCTATTGTATACAAAAGAGCACAAAAATAGGTTGCTGGTTCTGGCATTCCCCCAGAATTTCCTACTGCTAAGAAAGGAACCTGCCTCCCCCTCTGAAACACGTGACAGAGATGTTTTGGAGATAGGCTTCAGTGCCGGGTTCTGGATCTAACTGGCATCCCTCTGCTATCGTGGCATTTACCGAACCGGCAGACTTCGTTGTCCCTGCAGAGACAGAGAAACACGTACAGAAACAAGAAAGCAAAGCTCCTAAGCACCTCTTGGAATCGGTGTCTGAAAGAGGCTGCCCCAGCTTGGAGCTGCGTCTGCATGATCCTGCACAGACATTTCAATCTGTTGTTATTTGGAAGAGCTGTGAGAAACAAGAGGGAGAACAAATAGCTCTGCAGCAACGGGTACACTATTCACATTGGAAGGTTAGTGCAGGAAAAGTCTATTTTTGTCCTCCGAAATGAGAGCTTCCATCACGCCAAGGCCGATGGCTTCTGACCCTCCATTCCTCTGGAGTTACACATATTTTTCCAAGACTTAATCGGGAAAAAACCATACCAGTCTATTTAATTTGCTGACTATAAGGTGGTACCACAATCTTGTTCACATTTCTCTACCAGTCAATCCCGTTGGCTTTATTTGAACTAATCAAGGAGGACTAATCCATGGAGGACTTGGACCACTATGTTTAGATGTAATCCTGATGAACCCAAACCAGTAGTTTTCTGAAGTCACAGCTATCATCATGAACCTACAGACCATTATACAACTTGTTCTAAAGAGAAATCTATGAATCTTCACGGTCCTTTATAATCCTGGAAAACATAAATCAGAGAAAACTCAAGTGAAGCAGATCACCAGGAGGGACACATGCTAACACAGACCACATTTTGGTGGAAAACAATAGAGCTATTGACAGGCACAGTAATCATTTTCTGTCCCAAATTCCTGCAGATGTGTCCTGGCCAATACAAAGAAAAGTGGCAGAATTCTTTTCTTTCAGAAAGGAAATACGGATTTGCTTGGAAACACTGCATCTTCACGTAAGGGTTTTATCTCCAAGGGTAGTCTACCCCTGGTACACATCACTGCTCATTTAAAGCAGGCAGGAGGATGAAATCGTTTTCTTGCCACCTAATGTGTGGTATGCGGTTGATGGACAGCACGATCGGTCAATCCTTGGTTTTTCTCCCCGCTGGGAAGAGAAACGTAAATGTCTCATCACAACTTCCCTCTTCTCAAACATCCCTCCGTTCACAAGAATCACCCCCAGCGCATCATTGCAAGAACACGGCTTCAGAAGTGCAAGCGGAGATACCGTTCGCGTACAGAACAGCTCGTCTGAGCACTGAGCAACCCGCAATGGGGGGGGTCAAAGACGGCATGAGTATCCTTCGGGGGCCGTGGATGTGCCACAGCCTCCCTCCATCACCCTGCGCTATACTGACCTTATTGTACACAATAACAAGACGCGGTTGGGAGCGAGGACAGACTGAGAGATCAGAGGGAGTTCACTGATCAGAGTAAACAGATGTTGCCTTGTTCCCTTTGAGACGAAGATTGTGTGTTGCACAACAGTTTTATCAAAAATCAACTTTAAAATGTTCTGGCACGATGGTCTCAACTGAAGCAGCACAGTTTCAGCTGTAAGCGTTGCCCTGTGCCAGTGGGGAGGAAAACATCAAAGCTGCGACACTGTGCAAGGGTTAGAGGACCAGAAAGTGAAACCAGCCTCTCTCTTCCCATTATCAAAACAGCAAAGTGGGAACAAGTACAAAATACAACTTTTCAGGTCTAATCTTAAAACCAGCCTTGATGTTTACGTCTCATTTCAACTCATTTCTTTTAACATGCCGAGAGCTCTTTTCAGAAGACACAAAGGTTTCTGTAGAATACAATATGCACTGCTAAATTATTTTTCTTGGCAAGGCTAACTGAATGACAAAGCAGAAACAGGAATCTCCCCTCTCGACAGCAATACCTGCAGGCAACGCACTGGGCAGGCTAAGACCACCGATAAATAGGACGCGCGTGAGCAACTTTGCTGAGTTGGCTTTGTACTGATGTTATTCCCAGGCTCTGCCAGGCACTTCCCGAGCACTAAAAACACAATGGCTTGATCTCGGGGGAGGAGAGAAAAATCTGCCACTGAGGTCTGCTGCCACGGAAAGCAAGACACGGTAGGGTTTTACTAGTGGCAGGACTACTGTTACCAGGTAACCTCCTACCAGGCTTGATTTTAACAGTTTTGGGAAATTCTCTGCCTCCCGTAACCGCTTTCTATTGTTAAGAGACATCACGTTCAGCACCTCAGAGGAGCTGTTCTTCACTGCTTGGAAACATCTTTTCTTTTTCTTTTTTTTTTTGCTCTCGCAATTCATTTGAGCTGCTTTAGGACGAGCGGTACGACATAAATGTTCCCTCTCTCTAGTAAGGACACTTCAAGTCATTGACTCAAAGGTACTATTCGAGGAGCCCTTCAGAAGGCTCGTTATATGTAAAAAGCATACTTGCCCGGAGATAACAAGATTGCACTCAAAATAGCGGCCCTCTGACCTTCTTTAGGAACGCATCACAAGTAGCTAGAGCAAGATCGCAGCGTGGCCAAGGGAGTTTGTTTGCATACCGGTTAAGCAGTGCCAGTCCTTCCAGGCTGCTGAGGGACGTCCTCCAACTCCCACAAAAGTTCTGGAATATAAAACTCCCTGAAGATTTTCTGCTGCAAAGTAAATTCCAACTGAGACAAACGTACTTATCTAGAGGATAACAGCTTTGCCCTGTGCACAACAACAACAGCGAAATAGGAGCCATCTTACTGCTCTCTTAATAGAGGTCAGTAAATCTGGACGTCACACGGCTTCACATAAGCTACGAAAAAGGCAGAAACTTCAGATCTACATCAAGGCAACCCATTCTCAACGCTGTCAGCGCTTTCCATCCCAGTTCCCTCTCCAATCACATCACAACAATAAAGCTTCCTCAAACCTGACTGCGCAGCTCCTAGCAGGTGTTAAACTGGCATTCAAAACAGCATTAAACGTGACATTTAAATTGCAAAAGATAATTTTGCCTGATGATTTCATGCTTCTCTGAATCGCGTACTTCATGTATTAACAGAGGAAACATCAATATGATGCCACTAAGGGCAAATGGACAAGTACGGGGTTGCTCGCAAGATACGCACGTTGAACACCAATGCAGTGAAGAACTGCTTTTCCCTCCAGTTTTCGCTCTCTGTGACCCTGCAAATATTATTTACAAAGTTCTTCTTGACTGCTTATTCCCCTTGTTCCTTTCCTCTTTGGGGAGGTAAAGACAACAAGGGTGACAACACGACTCACGGAGCGAGCCAAGCTCGGCGCATCCAACTGTGCTTGGGTTGGGAACAGATGAGACGCTACAGGAAAAGAGTCAGGTTTTTCTTTTCACGGCTCTTCTTTGGAGAAACGCAACTGTTAAACCTCTTTAAGCTATCGATGGAGACCACGCACCCCACCGCAGGGAAGGGTATCTACTTAGGGATGGCTTAGGAGATACCGAAGCCCTCCCTAAGGGAACCTGCGGGGTTTTGTAACACCCACTTGAGATACCCCGTAAAACCAGCTTACACCCAGAAGGCGGGATCCGGGACCGGTTGTCGAGCCACCGACAGAAACTCCCCCCGGGGCCGGGCTCTGCTCGTTCGGGGCCGGTTTTGGGGCTGTCGGGGGGGGTGGTGGGGGGCAAATAAACCAAGCGACGGGCCCCCGAGGCGCTGCAAGAGCAC